GCAAAAGATTTCTGAGAACCCTAGGAGGAATGTGAATGGCCACTAGCCTCAGGGAGGCAGACCCCAGACAAAATACTGGCACGTCAAATGTGACCGGTGTGTCGGAGATCAGCAGGCACCACTCGCATCTCCCTCTCCCTGGGATCTGTAACCCAGTCCGTGCCTATCAAATACTAACTAGATGTCCATGCTGACATTGAAGCTCCTTACAAGCTGTTCCTCGGCCCTCTTTACCTGCTCACCTGCACTCTCAGGGATAGAAGCAGGCAGGAAGTCAGAAATCATGTTTTTATGTTGTTGATCCCTTTGTGTTTCCTGTTACTGTCACCCAGTCAAGTCTGATTCATAGCAGCTCTACACAAGGTGTATCCAAGGCTGCCATCTTTATGAGAGCAGATAGCCTCATTTTTTTCATGAGGAGTGGCTTGTGGGTTTGCACTGCTGACCTTGCAGTCCAATGCTTCCTTACTTGACAGCCCCACTAGGGCACCTTTAAAAAGTCAAGTAAAACAAACTCACTGCCAATGAGTTGATCCCTACTCAGGCAACCGTATAGGACAGGGTAGACTTTCCCTGTGATTTTCTAAGATGATAACTCTTTATGGGAGTAGAAAACGTTGTCTTTTTCCCTGAGAAGCAAGTAATGGTTTTGAACTGCTGACCTTGCAGTTAGCAGCCCAACTTGTAACCACTATCCATAGGGCTCCTATCCTCTTGTTATTAGGTACCATCAAGTTAGTTCTGACTCCTTTGATCCTATGTGTAATCGAACAACACTGCCCATAATGTGCCCTCCTCAGTTGTTCTTGCTTGGGCACATTGATGCAACCACTGTGTCAATCCATCCTACTTAAACAGATCAAAGTTTTCTCTCTTGAAATGCCTTCAAGAAACAATCATGAGTGCCCACGATTTAGGGAACCCCAGTGGCACTGTTGGTTAAGTGTTGGATTGCTAACTTGTGCAATTCAAACCAACTGTTGGCCCCTTGGGAGAAGTAGGTTATCTACTCCCTCCCGTCAAGATTTGCACCCTTAGAAGCCCTATAGAGCTGTTCTACTCACCCCATAGGGTCACTATCAGTCATAATTAACTCCGCAGCCATGGGTTTTAGGTAATCGCCACTGTCTCAGTCAGATAAAAAGTAGCTGTCCTTGTGAAGCTCACGTTGAATGTCATGATTTTTTGAGATTAGACCCATTTGCAAGGCTCCTGTATGAGGAGGAGGTGATAAGAGGCAGTGTAGAAGCTTTGAGGGTGCTCATCAGGTATTCTGCCTGAAGAGCCATCTAGCCATCATCCCGGTAACGAAAGTCCCAGGAAGGTCCTGTGCCAGTTCCACAAAGCGCGAGGGCTCATGAAGGACGGCCCTGTTTACTAGGAGTCTCAGTGCCTGAGGGCTTCTCACCCTGCATTTACTCATTGCTCACAGAAGTCACACGGCTGCAACTTGGAGCCTTTAAGGAAAAAGCAGGTAAAGGAACCATCAGATCATGCCATTGTATTGTTCATTAGGAGAGC